CCTTCTGGCCTGCAGGAACAATTGCACTAATAACATTATATCCCAAATTCTTTGGAGCATACTTTGATCCTAAATCAGTGGAGATCTACTCTGGCAGATAATGGGTCAAGGAGAAATTACATAACAGAGGCAGACAACCTCTATAAATTAAACTTTACAATGGTTTAGGCCTAAGCTACAAGGGTGATTTGTATCTGCATGATCAGTTTGATGTGTTTACAGTGGGCTTAAATATGACCTCTCACACTGAAGATCTATTAAAGCATGACTAAATTCCACAGGGTTATGGTGGGTTTTTGCCATAATGTGCAAGTATGAACAGCAAACACCCAATGTTCTCTTCTCCAGCCATGACAGGTCCAGGTTCTAGTCACCACTCTGCCCAACACTGCCACGAACTTGTAGTCACTGATAATTTAACTCTTTAAATCCCCAGCAACCAGGCCTATTATCTACATAGAAAAAAAAATCAAGAGGAACATTAGGCAAAAATTTTTAGCTAAAAGAAACTTTACAGTGCCTAAATGAAGGGTCCTTACCAGTGTTGAGACTATGAAGCACATATCATATATCTAAGTTGTGAGGACTGCTAACAATATTGTGATTGGAATGCTTTGCATAAACACAGCCACAACTGTCCTTAATTTTGAGGGCCTACCCTTCTTTTGGAATTAATTTTCCTTGGTGCCTCAGCTGTCTCTCTTTTCAGTCTGAAGTATAAAAATGTATTATATAACTATCAAAAGTAGCTATTCTACATTTAAACTTTTATTCCAACCTCTACATTTTTGCATTTATTTTGAAAAGCCATTATAATGGTAAAAGTAGTGGTGCAAAAATCACTCATAAGTTTAACCAATAATTTTCATTGTTTATGGCCCACGTAAACGGTGTGTCCTCTGCCTACATGCTTTGTGCTAATAGATGTCCCTCTTTCACATCTGAGAAGTTTGGCATCTATAGAAAAAGTATTGATCCCCTTGGACTTTTTTTTTATTCTTGTAGTGCTGCACCATGGAATTAAAATGGAATTAATAGGGATTTTATATTAATGATTTAAATAAAATAGTTCACAATGTCGAGGTATAAAAATATACACAGTTTTCCAAATTATGCACAAATAAAAACTGGTAAATCTTGATTGTATATTTTAGGGCTGCAGCTAACGATTATTTTCATAATCGATTAGTTGGCCGGTTATTAAGTACGATTAATCGGTTAATCGCATAAAAAAGAATCGGTGGGCGTGGCTTACGCGGCCTGTGCCGTGGGCACGGCGGCCGCAACGGGAGCAGCGTGTGACGTGCGGCTCAGGCCGCATGTGGAGCCCCAAACAGGCAAATCAATCGATAGCCGACGAATCGACGATCGAAAACGTTGCCAACGTTTTCAATCGTCGATTTTAATCGACTAAATCGATTAACTGTTGCAGCTCTAGTATATTTCTAAAGGTGCCCATACACCCTGCGATTATCGTACGATAATCGCGGGAAATCCCGCAATCGTACGATAATCGCAAGGTGTATGGAAGGTGTGCAACCGTTTCTACTGTACGTTCGCACGTCTTTTGTCTCCCGTGCAGGCTTGAAAACCCGCCGATAATCGTACGATTGTCGGCGGGTTAGTGCTGTTCTTCGGAGACAAATGCCCGCACACTGCCCGTAAGCACACACTGCCCGTTCAGCATTGCAGTCATCGGAAGCTCGCCCCTCAGGGAAGGGAAGGGAAGGGAAGAGTGACAAAAAGAAAACCATTCCAGAATAAAAACATATCAAATTGGAGCTTGCCAAAACATATGTAAAGCTGGCCATACACCTGCAGATTTTCTGTGGTCAGATGGAAAAGATGCAACAGATTCCTCCATCTACCCTTAACTGTGTGGATGGAGTAATCTCCACCTGGGACAATCTGTTGCACTTTTTCCATCCGACTACAGAAAATGTGCAGATAATTGTAAGGTGTATGGGCACCTTTAGGCCTTGTTCACACCAAATGCAGAGCAGATCTGCATGAGTTTCTAAACACGCAGTGCAGAGGGTTGTGCCGCGTTTTTGCGCGTACTTGATGCCTTCCGGGCCGTTTTTGGAAAAAATATTTTTTTTCTTTTTTTTTAGTTATGGGAAGGGGGTTTAACACCGCGGATGTCAACTGGTTAAAATGAGCTTTCGGTGCGTTCCAGGGCGTTTGCATGCGTTCAAGTGCAGGTAAAATAGGGCCTGCTGCAGTTTTTTTACCTGCTCTGGAACGGAACGCTGCTATGTGAACTGGAGCCCAAAATACCATTGGAATACATTGGACGCAGTTTTGCTCCGGTCTGTAACTGCTCTGCTCCTGGAACGCGCTTGGTTTGAACAAGGCCTAAGACAGAGCAAATACGTGGGAAAAAAAAGGATTTCTTGGCTTAATAATACCAAAACTGAAGTTTTTTTAGAATTAGAACAAAATGCTGTGTGTGTTAAAAAGCCAACACTGCTTATTGCCCTGAAAATACTATTGCCATGGTGAAAGAAGACAGAGAAATATTTAATTTGCAGACACTGAAACAGAAGGAAAGATGGATGGCTCCAAATACAGCCCAATTTTACAGGACAGTCTGTATCAGTCTTCAAGAGATCAGAGGCTGGGGAGGAAGTTCACCTGGCACTGGCCCTAAAAAAAAATGCATATCCCACCTCTATCTAAGGACTAACACCAGCTTAAAGTAGGGTATACAATGGTAGACTTTCAAAGGAATGTTCATACAAAAAATCTCATTGGAACATTCGATATTGCCATCAGAGACTTGTGGACAGTGTGAATTGTATTCCACTGTTTTTTTTTTTTTTTTTTTTAATTTATTTGGAGTGTACAGTGTGTACACTCTATTCAGGTCCCTGTATGCAGCACCATTTGCTGCACTGCCTTATGGCAATCTGCAGTTTCATGCAGTGTGCTGAGATAAAATGCAGAATGTTTGCATTTTATTGCAACACACAGTTCATCACACCTGCATTGCGGTGTGAATGAGACACATAGAAAACAATTGTTTACATGTTTCTATTCTATCTAAAATGTAAAAAAGGTTTTTGTGATACATACACTTTAAAATTAAACTTCATGCAGATCTATTTTGCCCTGGGCAGTTGTAAGGGCCATTTCCTCATCCTTTAACTTCTTATATACTTAGTTCCCAGTATCACTTTGGCAACTCATGTGTAAGGTGATTGCATCTATATTAGAGCGAGACAGAGAGGGAGACTCTTTTTACCTCATTAAGTACTGATTTGATCTCATTAAGGTAGTAGATCTATTGGAAGTCTGTCCAGAAAGTTAGCTGAAGTGCAAATAAAAAAGTAGCATCATGTGTTACATCTGTAACATCATCATCATCACCTTAGTATTATCAGCTGTTTGGAAACTCACTTGTTAATTCAGTTAAATTCCCCACAAGCCCATGGTTTTATGTGAAAATGTTTGAGCCATAGAGTTGCAGCCCTTTGATTCAGGTCTTTGTGCTTCTGGTATTTATAACTATTTGTTGTAGACATTGCTGCTCCACTCGCCTGCTCAGCCTCAACATTGGATTTTAATTCATGTCATTCCATTAAACAGTTAACCATTGGTATGCATCACCGCCTGGAACAGGCACAGGATTTCAATGAATTACAAAGCCTTTTATATTACTAATGGGATTTGCCTGGTTTATGGGGCATGTGTTGAACATAAAGAACGCCTCATATTGGTGTCCAGTACAACAGTGTATAGGACCTTATATACTTGCTGACTATTTCGAACTGCTTTAAGAACAGTTATACATATATGTTCTCTAAAAGCAAGCACATTGCTGAATAAGCAGTTTGCAATGTGAGTAATTCTGCGCTCTTATTAATTAAGCACCATATACTATATAATATAAGGAGAGAAGGGAATTCCTGTAAGTGTTAGTGGAGGGCTGTAGCACAAATTCAGGGAGCATGGAACCCCTCTCCCTATCCTGTGGCCAGTGTCTTCCCAATTTGCTCTCACCTGCCTGTTCTTCACTTCCCTCCACCTTGGCCCAATCTAAAGCTAGGTTCATACCTAGGCGATTTATCGCACAGATTTAGCCGCCGCGATATCGCACAAAACAGAGATTTGCATTCCAGCTCCTGATACGTATCCCGATACTGGAACCTCCAGTATCCGGAAGCCAGGGAATGAGTCATTACACGCCGCCCATCTTCCTGATTGGCCCAGGAAGCCGGCTCCATGCTGCACTGGATGGAGCATGGAGCCGGCTTCCCGGGCAATCAGAAAGCCAGGGGGCGTGTCATTACCAGAATCTGCAGAAGCAGATAGCTGGACAAGCAACTATAAAAAAGCTTCATTTTCAGTGTACTTTTTAATTTTTCTAAAAGGTGACAGTCACTTTTAAACAAGCATTCACTGACCTGTGTAGGTACAGGCTCTGAGGAGCAAATCCTCCTCAAAAGCTAATTGACTATAGATACCAGTACCGGAATAGGCGATATGGATCCATCAGTAGTCTAAGCAACTGTAAGCACTGATCACTTTTGAGAAAAGAGTGGGGAGTACCCTGTACTTTTACTTTTTTAGAGTTACTTTGCAAACTGACGCCTTTTTTTTGAAAACTGAATTGGCTGCACAAAAAGACAAAGTTTCATCTATGTGCTAGCATTTCTCTTAAGACCATTATTTTTTACTCCCTTATGTGATCCATAATTTTGGCACTGGTGCAATATATCTGGCTTGGTTAGATTTGAACATAACCAGAGATGGCCTAAGGGGATCATACATGCCCCGGAACAAGTTGTACTTAGTTGCTTAATCTTTCAGTGTATAGGCATCTTTAGGCTTGGTAAGAGTCCTACTGCAATTATAGAGCAGAATTATTTAAATGATGTTAGTATATTATTGTTATAGCAATCTATTACATGCAATTAAGGTCTAGTAAACCATAAAATTGAAGCAAGAAGATACAGTAAACAGTTTGCGCCAATGCAGGACTGCATGAACCCTACCTGCACTTCTCTGTCTCCATATTTCTGGGGGTTCTTGCTGTTCTGACACTTTTTCCTGAGCTTCTTGAGTTCAGATTGGCATTTCTCAATTGACTCCGACTTGGAACGATGCTCAACCTGGTATTTCTTCAGTGTCGCCTGGGGATAGCACAGGAAACACTATCAGTTACTAAGTGACAAGCCCCTAATACAAATAAGGTGGAACAAATTATCACAGTGGAGAATGTAAAGAAGCGGAAACAAAAGTACGCACAGTTAAATACTTGATGTCTAATTCCAGCTTGTGTTCAAGTTGAGCCAGGAGTTCAGAGTGGAAAAGCTTCAACTGAGGGGAAAAAAAGGAACATGTTTGATATCTTAAAATGTGTATCTTATTTTTTTTTTATTTGTTTATTACAGGCATTGATATAGCGCCAACAAATTTATGTAGCACTTTAAATATTGTTCATTAAGGTAAATAAAATCAGGACATAAAAGTCACTACTATCCCCACTTCCAACCTCTGTATCCATAAACCATTTGTAATAACCCAGTATACCTACATTTATAGGAAATAACTGATCCCATTTAGTGCATGCATTGGTTGTAATGGTAGCTGCACAAACTATAGCTATTTACCACTAGTGATGGCCCGAACACCCCCCTTTTCGGCCCGAACACGGCCGAAAAGTTTGAATACAAACTCGACCTAAAGTCAATGGGGGTCGAACGTTCGAAAATGATTGTCCCCTTTAAGAGGGCTTATATTCAAGTGATTGGCCATAAAAGGTGTATGGGGGTCCGGGTACTGCTCTGGGGGACCAGGAATCAATGACAAAAAAAACAAAAAAGAATACAGTGTTTAAAGGAGCAGTGATTTTGACATCACTTAAAGGGCAAGGAAAAAATGAAAAATTCCTTCGACGATCGTGCCTGGGGGGTCCCCTTAACCTGCCTGTGAAGTGGCCGATCTGTAGGATGTACAGAACCTGCTGCAGCAAAACTGACATTTCTAAAAAAAAAAATGACATTGTTTTTTTAACTCTTAAAGTGTGCAGTTCCCCCTCCCAAACAATACCAGACCCTTTAGGTTTGGTAGGAATGTTAGGAGGGACCAATTGTTTTTTTTAAAATGCGTAGGGTTTCCCTTAAAAGTCATACCAGGCCCCTAAGGTCTGGTAGGAATATTTAGGAGGGACACCATGTAAAATAAATAAATAAAAAAAAAGTGTGTGGGGTTCCCCCTTAAAGTCATAGCAGGCCCTTAAGGTCTGGTAGGAATTTTAAGGAGGAACCCAAACCCCCCAAAATGGGGGGCTGGGGAACATGGGGTCCCCCCTAAAATTCCATATCAGACCCTTCATCCGAGTATAGGCCTGGCAGGGCCGGAAAGGGGGGGGGGCGACTCCCCTCCCTCCCAACCAGGCCACATGCCCTCAGCACTGGGAGGGTGGGCCCGTGCCGATGGGGACAAGGGCCTCGTCCTCACAACACTGACACAGTGGTTTTGGGGGTCTGCGGGCAAGGGGGCTTATTTGCATCAGGGTACCCCTTTAAGTAAGGGGGCACCCAGATGCCGCCCCCCTCCCTTGTGAATGAGTAAGGGGTACTTGTACCCCTACCCATTCACTAAAGGATTAAAGAAAACATTTATTAAAAAGTCCAGACTTTTGATAAAATCCTTTATTTGGAAAAAAAAACAAAAGACATGTTAGTGACGATGACAGCTAGCTCCGCCCAATTGTGTAGTTTACCGGCATCTGAGCCATGATTGGGCAGAGTCATCATGACTTTGCCCAATCAGGGCTCTAATTCAATACTGAACCCTGATTGGGCAAAGTATTGCACCTGACCTGTGGTCAGGTGCAAGACTTGAACCAATTAGAGCTTCGGAAGGCATTTTGCCTTATGGAACGTCTGTGGTCGAACAAACCGCGAACGTCCCATAAAGTTCGGCGTTCGGTGAATGCTCGAACGGCCGATGTTCGATTTGAATTTAGGTTTGAATCGAACACTCGGACCATCCCTATTTATCACCATGCCAACCATAAGATAGGCAATGGGACTAGTAACTTCTACTGAACTGCTACTTTCTGCTTAACTAAGACAGTATTGATATTTTATATAATCCCGTGCTGACAGTAAACCTTTCCATTGATCATGTAGGGCAAAGTAAAACGTTTACTCCTCCAGCAGCATGTATTTGCCTTTTCCTTGCTCCCTCTCCAATCCCTTCAGCCATCGGGAGCAAAGGGAAATACTCTGCACTTCTAGGTATGAGTAGGATCACTCTCCCTGTTTTATATGACACTGCTAGTGTCTTGTAAATGGCCCAGCACTGTCACATGGGGCAGGGGTAGATGTCCATCACCTGCGTAAGCTCTAGCAAGTTGGTTTGGCACTTACACAGGACTTTCTTTTCCCAGTTCAGAAGTATGAATGAAGCAGCAGTGAGGAAAGGTGAGTGCATGCTGCTGGGGAAAGGGAGTTGAGTGAACTTTTTACTTTGCCCTTCATGGGCAAAGGAAAGATTTACTTTAATCTATCACCAAATAATTACATTTAACCCATTAGTAACACTTCCACCTGCTTAGAGTGCACTGCTAGCATGGGTTATGAATTAGGCTTAGAGCTTGTTCCTGTGGCATGGACGGGGCGCATGTCCAAAGGTCGGTCTGTCCTGCCATCTAGGCAGAACAGGAAGGGTCCTTCACACTAGGAATTTTTCTGACAGGCTTGGAAAAGTCCACACACGGCCTACGCTATCGCATAGGGGGCTTGTCAGCCCCTTTTGTAATAGCAATAAAGTTAAAGAATGAAAAGTTTTCAAGAATTAACAAATAAAAGTAATTAAAATCAAACACTAAAAAAATCTAGAAGCCCCATGCCCCCATGTACATACAAATGCAAACATGCATATCAGGTGTGCTCACCTGATTGTGGCACACGTATTAGGTATCGCTGCACATGTTGGAGTGAGAACAATCATTTTAGGGCCACTAATTACTGTTAACTCTAAACTGATCAGCTGTAAAGGCTTTTAAAGCATGATCTATGGACAATTTTGCGTACTGCAGTGTTTCAATGTTTTATGGGCACGCAAAATTATAAGACTTGACATTTAATATGTATTTACAGGACACAACCTCATCTTTTGTATTTAATTTTTTTTTAAATAGGTATTATATTGTGTTTATATGCACTAGAGTTAATCTTTTTTTAATGAAAATATGGGTTTGATAAACAGTTGCACTTAGCAGTGGACATGTTGTTGGACATAAGAAATTGCTTTCAAATATTATCAGGAAGGTTTTAGTAATCTTCTGGCCTAAAATGTGCATTTTAACATAGGTACAAGTATAATTAAAAATAGCTCTGGCAGAGAGAGGTTTAAGTCAAAGCAGCGGTCACCTAATAAAAAATTTAAAAATGCTTTCTGTAAAAGGAAACGATTAAAACTTACCTGTCCTGATGTCCAAGCCACTGATCATCTCTCTTATAAAATGATACTGCTGCCAAAGAGTCTTCTGCATCCAACACACATCTGGCTATGTCAGATGCCTGGTCCCCGCTGCATGTTTTACATAACCATTGTGTGTTGCAGTGACATAGAGGCTTCTAGATGGAACCACAATGCAGAGCAAGGAACCGGGCATCTGAAAAACCCAGATGTATGTTGGATTTAGAAGATTCTTTGGCAGCAGTAGCAATACAGATTGTAGATAAGGGGCACTTGTGTCAGGGCAGGTATGCAGTGGCATCACAAGGGGGGTGCTGCGGGTGCAGCCCGCATACGGGTGCCACCATTGGTGCGGTGGCACCAAAATTACTGACAGTCATTTTGGTGTCACCCCCTCTGAAAAGTCAGGCACTCGGTCATTGACCGAGAGCCCAACAGTGCCAGGAGAGAGGAGGGGACCTGGCGGCATACCTCATCCCGCCCGCTGAACGTCCCCTCCTCTCTCTGCCGGCATCCAACACCAAGATGGCTTGCCGACAGGCGTCAAAAAGATGACCGCATATGCGTGATGACGTCATCGCGCACGCGCATGGTGATGTCACGGCAGAGTTGAATCTTAAAAATGCTTACAAGTACCCTATTACCAAAATGTAGTTATTTAATACAATCTCAATACAAATTAGTAAACTAAATATGAGATTGTAGTCTATCATGGGAGCGAGCTTGGAGTGGTGACCGCTCCAAGAAGGAAGGACAGTGTCAGCACCAATTCAGAGATGATTTGAGGATCTACAGCCGAGTGATACACAAATAAGATACATTTTTGTTAATAGGGCACTTGAATGAATTTTTAAGATTTAGCTGCTGAGTTTAGTGTCACTTTAAGCTGCTCTCAAGCAACACACTTAGGACAGACAGGCAGAATAAATGACAACTCTGTATGTTTGCTGTGGATTGTGCAGCAAAATACATGGTTTGCATGTGCCTTGCCGTTGACGGTTAATTTATTGGACAAATATTAGCAACACAAAAGGAACAGGATAATTACAATGTACTTGAGTAGACACAACACTGTAATTCCTGTTATAATTAATTGCTTTAGAAAAAGGCAGCAGATTAAATAAACAATATAAGGTTTAATTAGGTACTAATCCACAAATTCTGCAAAAATTCTAGAAAATTGCAACTAACAGATACTCCTGAATATACAAAGATTATATTCTATATTATATTTACTTATTACAAGTATCCATATAATGCTGTCAATGTATGCAGTGCTTTACGTACTATTCATTCACATCAGTCCCTAAAGCTTACAATCTAAGGTCTTTCTCATATGCACACACATACTAGTGACAATTTAGAAATGAGGCAATTACCCTACCAGCATGTCTTTGTAGTGTGAGAGGAAACCGGAATTTGAAGTGGGGACGTCAGTGCTACAAAGCATTGATTATACTGATTCTACATGAAGATTTAACCCCTTCATGACAAAGGCCTTTTTTCAATTTTTTGTTTATGATACAATCCACACTTTAGGCCTGAAAATTACTTCAAACCCCCAAACATTATATATTTTCTGAAAGGCAAGACCCTATAGAATAAAATGGTGGCAGTTGCAAATTTTTATGTTGCAAGATATTAGTATCAAACCCCAAAATGTGGTGAAAATGCACTTAAATGCCCCAAAACCCAATAGAATACCCATTTTTTAAAATAAAATATAAAAGATGAGGTTACAACGAGTAAATAGATATGAAACATGCCTGGGTCATTAGTTTAGAGATACGCGTAAATATTGGCACTAGAATTATTACTCTCACTCCGGAGTGCGCGGCGATACCCAACATGTGTAGCGCGATCGATGTTTTCATACGTAGGCGCAC